CCCAATAAGCCAGGTAAAGATGGTGAGGTCGGCGTTCAATACATCAATATGGGGAAAAGCTCGGACCACAAGTGGAATGAACTTGACTCAAAGACTAAAAAAAGCTATCCACTGGCAGTAATTAACATCATCAGAAGAGAAGCTGAGGACCTGTTACTAAGCAACAGCAATGATAATAAAGGGAGAGACGCGTTGAAGTTTATACTCAGCTTGACGAATGAAAGAAGTGATTTGCAGGCGCTGAAGAAAGGTGAGACATCATACGTTCCCTTCATAACTTTGACGTAATTTAGAACTAAAACCAAATTAAGCCATCTCTAATTCAAAAACCAAAATTATTATATTAGTATTTAATTAGTTTTTGAATGAAAGATGGCTTCAGACTTTGAAATATATATTTCTTAAAAGTGTTTTTTGTACTAAGATGGTTTTGAAATGGCATCCGGTTTTTACTCCAGACGTTCAACAAAAGCTTGTTTTTCTGGGTCAAGACGGCTACGACATTTTCGGCAAGAATGATATGTTTGCACCTCGCGTCAAATGGCAATCTCTTGAAAAATCTGTCGAGGAAATCAAGACGGCAGCCGAAAGCTATGAAAACGCTTTCAACGATATTATTTCTACCATAGAGAAAGGGAAAAACTTCAAAAAGGTAAGTTTTTGACATTCGGACCGGTATTTCTGAATCACATTCGCTTGTCTCAGAACCTCTATACGGTCCCGCTTTAACCAGATTCAACTTCTTCCTGGTTATGACATTTTCGATCACACTGCAGATAGCGTTATTGTTATTGTTTGAACATCTTGTTGAACAATGTGGACTTTTGGATGATCTTTAATCATCTTTAAATAAGTCAAAACTATTATGGTTTAGTATATACTAAAACAGTGGATAGTGTTTTTCGCGCGCTCTGATTGGCTACTCAATCAGTGAATATCCTGCACTATTCACTGATTCACCTCCAGTTCCTCCGAGCGAGCGACGCCAAACTCGCGTAGGTTGCGAGCAAAATGCTTTCCCGGTTTGCTGCCGTAACAAACTAAGAAATTTCACAACTAATCAAGCAAGCTATTTCCGAAATACATGAAGAAGGTGACGAAGTTCGGTTTGGAAGTTTTAACAGGTAAAGCTTTGTCTTTTTGACTTGAATAGTTATCGATAAAACCGGTGAAAAAGTTTTTTGTTTACAAATGCAAATTAAGCTTAAGTCTTGCGTTACTTTATTTCGTTGACTTGTTCATAAATAAGCTTAAAACTAAATTTAATAATCTTTTTTACAGAATTATTTTAGATACAAACAGAATTCACAACTCCTTTTGAAGAAACTTCCCCGCAAGAGCTAAACAAATGCCTTCAAAAGTTTTATTTGTCGCTAAGAAAAAGCGACGACCGCGGCCGTCCGGTCATCGCGCGCCGAAATTGTAATCGTTCGGAACAGTAAATGAGTTAAAAATCATCATTTTGTGCTCAATTATCTCACTGTTTTAGTATATACTAAAACAATTATTCACCTCAGTGTCGGTGGCTATATAGTAGTGGTTATTTACCTCGCCGCTTCGCGGCCTCGGTAAACTGATCCAATACTAACCACCTCCACTTCGGTGAACAATAGGCCATTTTACAGTTGTGTATGGAAGCGAGACTGAGGGTGACCTTATTTTGATACAAACCTTTCTGCTTTATTCTGTAAATCAAGTTATTCTTATGCTAACTATTATTTTTCAAGAACAATTTCCATAACAAAGCAAAGAAGGTTTGTATCAAAACAAGGTCACCCTCAGCCTCGCTTCCATCCATAACTGTAAAATGGCCTATTGTTATATATTCTATTATGTTAAGAAGGCAAGGGCACTGTTTGTCATAATAATTATCATTGATTGTCTTTTATCTATCGTTTTTTGTGTTTGCTTAGTTTGTTTGTTTTTTCCTGTAGATTGCCTCAAGAATGTCTGCTGTAGTAGGCTTACACGTTAATGCAGAGAAAAAGCGACTCGAAGAGGCCAAACTTAGTGCAGAAAGTGAAAAGACCACTTATGTAAAAGTAAATTCATTTGGAATGGCGCCTTGGAACTTTTTCTGCATATTTTCGTTCAGTTTGACTTAATATGAATTATTTCTGTCTTATCATCGCTTCTTTTCTTTTCTTTTTTATTCATTTATTTATTTATTTTCGTTGTTTTTGTTTTTGTTTTGTCTCTTGCCAGTCCATTGAGTACCTTGAAGAACAGATGTCGAGTATAATTCAAGAGGTTACGTCTGAGCTTCCGGGCGTTTATAAGAAGGCCAAGTTCAATTCCCAAAATCTAATTGGAATGCTTCAGGGACTTGTAGGATTCGCTGCAGCAGGAGCTGCTAAGGACCCATTTGCTCTCATTGACCAGACACTGGCTCTTGCAGAAGAATCATCTCAACGTTGTCACCTAAAATCTCTTGACTCATATTTGGGTAGCATTAAGCAATGGCTGACCTTTGGAAAGCATTACAAGCCTTTGGTTGATTCCAGTGAATTAGACTTTGATCAAATGAACGTCAGTTCAGTTCCTCAGATAATGCAGGTACATATGAGTCGCTGCAACGTTTTAAGACAGTATATGGAATTCAATAACTGCGGACCCCTAATGAGGACCAACAGTTATAAAGAGAATGAATGGATCGGAACCGAGTCCTGGAGCCTTTTTCTCTAAATTCCGATAGCTTTTCGGGCCCGGAAAGCTATGCCTTATTTCGTCCAAGATCAAAGTTTTATCAATTTTGACAATGATGCAATTATAATATCAGTTAAGGATGCAAAATATACTCATTATGAGCTAGGAACTGTGCTACTATTCAACAAGTTTTGATTCTATAATTTGTCTTCGGACCCGAAAAGTTTCCGGCCCTTTAATTTCCAGAACCGGGCCCAGAAATGAATAACCACAGATCGCCGACATATTCTGGTCTCTAGAGGTTAGCAATGTATTGAAATTTTTCGGCATCGGCAGTTTAAAAACAACAGCAAAAAATGTTATTATTTGGCTATTTGCTTTAAAGACTTGAAAGGTAACCGTGGCGCTTGTTATTTTTAATCTTTCGTTTCTTAGAGAAGACACTCGGCAATCTTCTGATATCAACGACCGCCGGACTGGTTTGATCAAGCCTGTTATTTTGCTTTTTTATTTATTTATTTACTATTTGATACTTTTCAAACTAAAGGATGAAGACGCTGACTATGAGAGCAATAACTTAATATATAGATTTAGCCAGGGCTAAAAGCGAAGCTCCTATTAACTCGAATTTATAATTTGAATCGAACAATAAACTTGCAATTGTATTCCACAAATCAGTTAACTTTAGAGCACATTCATGTGACTTTTGAGGGAAAGGCTAAGTTATTTTAGAGAAAAATAATTTGCAAACAGTCCAAGCTAAGAGTGAACTTAATCTTAGATCGAGCTGATAGCCTCTATATACGTACACCCAAAAAATAGCAATCATCTTCGATCACATTTAAGAGCCATAATGGCTCTTGATCACAGTAGATTAGGCCTGGAAAACAAATTCTTGGAAAACAAATCAGGCCGAATTTATTGCGTTCGACAAGTTTATAATTTACTTTACAAAATCTTGCCAACAAGTCTGGGGACGTGTAAACCAACCTTTTATACTTTTTATACATCACATCTGAGGTGAAACAGTACCATGAGGCGCTGTTTCTATCATACAGACCTCGGAAAGAATGCAGTATTTCACAATTTTGCAATACAAATTGCACTCACTCAAGATTCAGGACGATCGAAGCACGCGTGTGCTTTTACCGGAACCGTTAAAAAAATTTCCAAAATCACCTATATATACGGCTAGCCGGTTCTCACTTTTGACAAGCGCTAAAGTCGACTGTTTAAATCAAGATTAATAGAGTTATACGCTTCATCATGATAAAGAATTTATTATGTTTATTTTTTGTTTAACGGTTTTATAACGATGTGTAATCTTCTTCGTTTGATACGCGCGGCATTTTGAGTACTCCTGCAAGCGATGTTCATGAGCGACTGAAAACAAACAGCACAGCGATTAAAATTGCAAAAGAGACCACTAAAAATCAATAAAAGGAAAATAATTCGGTGAAACATATACAGAGACAACAATTTTTATTCACGAAGACAAGTATAAAAGTGTCTCTGAAAATCCTTGTTTATGTTTTAAGCCGGCTTCCCGGTGTTTGCTTTTTTCAAAGATGAACTCGAGGCAAGAAAATTGCTCAAAGCTTTCTTTTACAGCCAGAATTGTAGCTAAATATTCTTTGAAACGTTTTCTTTCTGTTTGCAGTGAGAAAATGTCTAAAGACTTTTTAAAGTTCTATTAGCTTATAATCAAACCTGATACTCGGTCAGATCATTGTCTCAAATCTTACAAACGTGCATAAACTAAATAGCCGCATAAACTACACCCGACTTCATTAAATTAGATATAAAAAAGAAACACCAAATACAATAATTACTCAGGCTAGGCTTACCATTCGAGATGCACTGAAAACTATCAAGTAAGGCCATAATCGCTACAGACTTTTCAACCCTCTTACGCATCAAGCAAGGTGAAAAACGAAAACGATGCCATCCGAATTAGATTTCCGACTTTGACAAGCGACGTATTTCTCAACAAAAACCCCAAAAAACAAACTAGCTTTGAATAACAGAAGACTCTTGAAGCTTCTTGATAGCAGCAGAATTTCATTTTGTACATCCAGTGGAAAAAAACAGTTAAAAACATCACAAGCTGACACAAAACTCTGTCAGCTTCAGCTCTCAAAGTAAACAAGTTTCAAGATGCTGCATAAATTTTCCGCATGAACTCACCTGTCAAATTGTGACCAATCAGAGCATTAAAATTGGACGTAGAACGTGACCAGCGCGTGACCTCGGTGAGAAAAGTCAAAAGCAACTGGCATGACTTCCCTGCCTGTAAAAACTGGCTGAATTTTAGCTTCAGCGGTCAGTTTGAAATCAAAATTTTAATTGTGCGGCACATATAAAACACAACACATTAAAAAATTAAACTTGAGCCTGCGATCATTTGAAAACTAGTAACTTGTCAGCGGATAACTTCAAAAAGATACTCGACCTCGATTGGTCGACATCTGAGCCCGCGATATGTTCAGGTGATACTGGTCAGCGGATACCCTGTTTTGACAGCTGTCAGTTGATCACAACATTGATGTACAATGTGTGTGCAATATCAGTCTTCCTGTGCTCCCAAACTAGCTAGAGTGAACATTGGTTGCCCTGTGGTGCGGACGGGCGGGCGGGCGGTGTACGGTCACGTGATTACCAAATTTTCTGGGATGGGTAGATGTACTTACCCATGGTGCTCCGCAGGCGCGCTTCGCGCACCAGAGCTCCGCTATAAACTGTTGTTAAGAGGATTAATATGTGTAGCCCACATTTTCTTTGTTTCTAATTTCAGGCCAATTTGGAAATAAACAAGGAAAAGTTTGCTTCTGAACTTGTCTGTTTGCTGGATGACAACTCTTTACCGCAGGACGTGGCAGTTTTTAAACAGTTGTTGGAATCGTTTTTCATCGCAGGTGCAGCTCGTATTGACCTGATAGCAGAAATAATGAATCTTGACAACGACATTGGGGGATATAACTTTGATATTCCCCTTCTTGACCAGACTGAGCAAGCGATTAAAGAGGCAACTACAACAAAAGGTAATAGTGTTTTGTCATTAACTATATTTAACTTTTATAAGATTAGGTTAAGCATCTTCTAGCGTCTCCTGCTGATTACCAGTTTTAGAAGTAGGTTAATCTGAAAAATTGTTTTGAAATTGAATGTCCTAGGAAACCAAATTATTTACTTATTTATTTATTTGTTTGTTTATTTGCTATGTGGTAACTGATTTTAGGCTAGTATTCTTCTTTCCATCGAAATTTTTGTTAACCCTTTACCTCTCATCTAAGAGCCGAACGACTGTTTGAAAATACAGCTGTTGAGCCCAAGAACATGAAACAATCTCCGTGTAATCGCAAATCTGTATCGTCACATATATAGAGAATACTTCAGGGAAAGTGCTGGCGTACGGTATTTACGCACGAGTTGTTTACGTATCAGAAATCGAACGAGTGAGCGCAGCGAACGAGTAAGATTTCTGATACAAAAACAACGAGTGCGTAAATACCGTACAAAGCACTTTCCATGTGGTATTGTGTTTATTATATACATACTGAGACATTCATCATTTTGGCGGCCTTTTTATTTTAAATCTTTCAAAAATGCTAAAATTTGCCGCTACACACTTACCGCAAAATGACAACGAAAACGAAGTATCAGCTTTTTGGTAAAAACGTTTGTTAAAAACATAAATGACGGTAAGGATATGGGGTAATCCAAGAACTATAAGTAATCTTAACAGTTTGTTCTCAATGCACAATTGAAAATGAGTGAATTTAAGTAAAATGGCCGGTTTCAATATAAGCTTAAGCTTAAATGACGGCAAAGTAGCTCCGACAAAAAGCACAACAAAAGCTTACGCCTCGTTCTGTTTTTCCCTTTCCGCTGTTGTTTCGGCGGCTGTCTACCGTTTTCTTTATCGACAGTGAAACAAACGAAACTATTCCACTCCATTTCCGAAATGTTTTTCACTTTGTCAGTGAGAAAAACTCTTTGAGTAAAACTTTTCTCGTTGAATGTGTGCGAAGCGGCGCTGCAAGCTGCAATAAAAGACGGGAATTTTGGCGCGAAACTCACACACCTCTGTGGCTTCTAATTGGACGTATCATTTTTCTCACACGTGAAAAAACATCGTTCGCGATTCTGATTGGACGTATCATTTTTTTCCTCGTGTGAAAACCATCGTTCGCTCCTCTGATTGGCTAGAACTCATTTGGGTACGAAAATTTACGACATAGCTTTTTGGTGAGTATTTCTCAGTATGTATATAATAAAATAAGTTCCCCGCTTCAGGAAATCTAAGAGAATGCATGTAGGAACATGAGGCTTTGGGTGCAGTGATTTCTAAGATTGTTTGGGTGACCAAACGTTAGTTATGATTGGTCGATGGTGTTCAAGGCAACCATTAACCAGCTAGTCATAAGAAACGCTTGTTGACTCAAACAATCCCAGAAATCGTTGCGCCGGAAGCTTGTACACATTCATCCCCTTGTAGTTTCTGGAGAGGGAAATTCGTTTGGAGCTACTTAACAAGTAAAGGAGAAGATAAAAACGGGAAATAAAGTACAAAGAACGTGAATTTTTAAATGACTTTTTCAAGGTGCCCCAATAACAAAGGAACTTCAGCAGATGTTTATGGATAACCTTCTAAGCTCATATAGGGAACTGGAAAGATCTTTCATGAAAAAGTTCTACGAACTTTACAAGGCTTTCAAGTTCCGTACATTATGGGAAGGAAACAATCCCTTGGCCTCGTTTCGAAGAGTAGCGAGTGAAAGTGCCAAGGGCACGGGACGACTAAACGGCGTTGTACAACTCACTGGAGTGCTTCGAAAGTTCCAGAAACTTAAGGATAAAGCCAACAAGTGTTTCACTTTTAATAAATACACCACTGACATACACAGATGGAGTTTCAATAGTGTAAAAGACAAAAAGGTAACAACAACAACAATGTACTTATTTAAAGAAATATAAAGTTTACAATTTTATGTCCTGCAAATAGCTATAATGCTAATCTAGGCAGGGCAAGACTTTAAATGAAGACGTTATTAAATTACATAAAAAAAGAAGCCTATTTAGCTATAGTTAAAGCATTCTGTCTTGGAAAATATTGTTTGCAATAGCTATCTTTGTATGTGATATAGACACGACTAAAACTTTGCATCCAATTTTATGACTCCTGATTAAAATATCTCCAAACCTAGAGTGCAATGATAAAGCGAATTCTCCCTCTTCCAAATTACTATTCTAAGTTTTAAAAGCCTCTCAGTAAGTTCACAGTTCGTGTTTTATCCGAGTCTGGAACTAATAATTATACACTCAGTTGTTCCTCTTATTTTAAATAAAAAGATCAATCTGATTTTTGGGACGAATTTCTTCTTTGTCGTTATCGTTTTTGTTGTTAATACATGGCGTAGGAAATGTTTACCCTTTCCTAGTCTTAAAAGACCATTGTTGGATTGAATTTAAAGGTAACCCGCATAAAAACTGAATACCTTATTGGAGGAAATTAACAATGCACGTTGACAACGCGAAAAAAATTTACGTTGCACTAAATTAACGCTAATTTTTCATAAGTTAGGTTTACATGCATGAAATTAACGCGACGAGCATCTCTTTATATTCAACACAAATTTGCAGCACTTACAAAATCTCAACATAAATATATATCAAGGAGAAAAAGAAGCATTTACATGAAGGAGTTTTTGACCTGTTAACTTTGCTGTTATGTTAACATTGCGTTTTATCTGTTTTAGATGTTTGAAGACCTTGCCTCTAAAGGCTATTCAAGATTTACCATTAACATTGACCAGAGCTGTGTAAAATGCTATAACATGCGTCTACTCAAGGTAAGATCCTGAGAAAGATATGAATGTGTTTTATTTTCGAACACCTGATAAGATGAGGACATTTTTAAGCTGACGCAATTTTACCTTTGACCACCTTTTTTCGCTTTATCATACAAAAAAAGACTTTCTTTCTTAGACTCGACCGTGCACAACGTTAAATAGCATACCTATCATTTTGAACTTACTTACCAATAGAAACACCGCATTAATTCATTCAGTCACTATTTGTGAACAAAAAACAAAGTTTGTGCACGCTCAGGAAGCTTCCAGCATAAACTGCAGCGCCTTTGTTTTCATGTTTGATGTTTGCCGGCTAACCAGTCTCATCTACTAAGGGCCTGTTTACATGGAGGTAGGGACCCCAGGTAGGTGTAGTAACCCGCTTAGGTGGGGTGACCCGCCACATGTTACCTCACCTACCTGGGGTCCCCCACCTCCTTGTGAATAAGCCCTAACTATGGTCTGGTGTAGGCCATAAAACTGTGATGATCACGTTATTTGATTACAAAACCTCATTATGTAAAATGCGACTGCAAACAGTGGTGCCGAAACCTTCTGTACGCGGTATGCACTTAAACCCCTCTAGAAAGCAGTTTGAAAATGTGCGCTTTCGATGAGCGAATTAAATGGTTTCGTATGAACTGACGGACTATTCGTGTAACACATTATGCGATTTCAAAAATAGCCGGATTCGTGTGGACGTGGCCTATGTGAAAGAAACCTAGGGTCAGGTCTTTAAACGGACTTTAGCCCGAGTGCTTAACGAAACCGCGTTCTAACCCATTTTCAGTTCCCCCAACGCTTTTATCTTAACGCCATTTGTCTTGAAAAGGTTAATAAAAGCATAAGGTGTAGTCTGAAAAAGTAATTATTTTCTCGAAATAACCCAATAAGGAAGGTATCTGGAGGTCCAACGGATTTGCCAAACCGCGGCCTACGTTAGACTTCGTTTAAATAACCGACCCATAGTATATAAGTATGTCACTCCAACCTTGTTCTAATAGCGTCTTATTAATTTATAACCCTTTAGATATACATTGAGTTACTCGGTAAGGAGGATCAACCAGACACTGTTCCACACAAGATATATCTTAAATTGCGCCATTTAAGTGGCTCATTTTTTCGCGTGCCCGTCGAAAAATCGGACGAAAACCCCATCAAGCAATACTATCAGCCAGTAGCTTCATACAGGACCATCAAGTTTAACCGGTTTACGCTGAGTAATGTAGAGGAATGTAAGAAAAGAAAAGGCAAAAACACAGGTGAACAAATAAGTTTTAGTGCCATAATAATCTTTAACAATAAATTGTAGGAATGTTGTGATATTCATTTGTGTATTTCTTTTTTATTCTATCTTTTCCATTTATTTATTTATTTGTTCATTCATTTTTTTTTTAAGAATAGCTTAATTTGAGTGAAAAATATCTATAGATAAGCTTTAAAATTAGTGAACATGTCGTCCAAATACAGCTATAATCGGCTACTCCGGGTTTAAATCCTCGGCCACCCTTGTAAATCAAGCCAACCAGTTGCCTCCTGCCATTTGGGTTTTTCAATCCCGTTGTATCATATATATTTGAATCATTTGTTTCTAATTACTGGAAAAGTGCTCGTAAACTTTGTAGAGGATAAGTGGACTTTCCACCATTAATATCATACTTGACGAATTACACTTTAATTTTGGCGCGAAATTTCAGCGTTAATTTGTAATTTCACATGTGAAATTACAAAATTGCCATGGCAACCCTTCCGTACGTCTCAGTGTCAAGATGGCGACGAAGTTTTAAAATGCCGTGAATGAAGATGTCAGGGCACAAAAAGACGCTTTAGAAAACCTGAACACATAAGAGAACATCAAGAAGGATTCTAACAGGTATTTTGCCAAAAAAGTCTGAAAAATTCTGAACTTTATAAGCCAAATTTAAGGTCTAAACATTTGAGAGAGTGGAGTTCTCGATCGATACGATCCTATCTTGGATTTTTGACACGTTTATCCAACGTAATTCGTCACCCATGATATTAATAGGTAATCAAATGGTATACTCGTGAAATTAGGGAATAATTTCACTTGCGTTTTGTCCAAATCCTAATAATTTCCCGAGCCTTCAGGCTCGGGAAATTATTAGGATTTGGACAAAAAGCAAGTGAAATTATTCCCTAATTTCACTCGTCACTATTTGATTACACATACAAACATACCTTTAACCTTTTTAATCTTAATATACTGACCAGTTTTTCTTCTATGCGGTTTAATTATAGAACCAAAAACCAATCAACACACAGTATAAGTACTGGCTCAAATCCATTTTTCCTTTCAGAATCATACTGTGTTTCCGAGGACGACTCTCGTTGGGTAGCAATGTGTAATCACGCCTTAAATAAGCGCGGAAGTCACAGTAAGGACGCTTTGTTAGGGATGGAGGAATGCCAGAGCCCGTTTGGTATTTACGAGCTGAAGATACCAATCGACAACAAGCTAGCATGTGATACCAACAGAATTACAACCACGAACTGCAAAGATCTTGATGTGGGTGGCTGCTTTAGTCATATTAAGGACATTAGAAAATTGCCTAGTTTCGCGCTTTTATGTTTTATAACTTCAAAATATTTGTACATTATCTCAGGAAAGAGGTCAAATTCAGACAGATTAAATCCGTAGGGTGCTTGCGACTGCCTCCCTCTCGATCAGGTAGCAAAATTAGTGGAAGTATAAAGATGCTCGTAATAGACAGGGAAAAAGAAAACGTTGTCAAATCCGTGGCCTTATTTTGGACAATAGATGATACTGGCATCTAGGTATCTATGAAGGCATTGAATCTTCTCCATTTTTGCGACAACAATTGCGTTCAAAATAAATCTCACACTTCTAGTTCATAGGCTTTAGAGCCCCTCTCCCTCCCCCTCCCTCCCTCACTAAAGAGCTGAATATCTCTAAAACCGTTCAAGATATGACCACCGAACTTAGCGACTTTTCCTACAATTTATCTGGGAACATTTTGGTTGTCGTGAATGGTATGTTAACTTTAAAGTTACCATAGGAACAGAGTTTTGACACTTATGGTTTTCATTAGATGCCACTTCCTGGTCGCAGGAAGCAAAAAAAGGCCGGTCTCAATAGGGTTAAGAAACTGTTACTCTTTTTTACTTCAAGACTACTTTGATAGAAAACGCTTTTCCTTGTTCCTTTTTATTAGCTGACCAAGTTCACCCAAATGAACGTGTGGACCCATTACGTATTCTGGGATGGAGAATATCCCAAGAGCCCGGGTGATATCGTGTGTCGCAAGAGCCAGCAAAAGAAACGGAACGAGACTGCCACTGCTTATCAGGAATCGAATGTCATTCTGGATGCTGGAGATTATTTTTGATGGTCTTACTGTGTTAAAATCAACATTCAAAACTAATCAAGTTGAACTGAATGTAAACGGTTTCTGTAGCCAGTCTGAAATATACATATTAATAAAGGCTGCTAAGGCACCAAGAAGTAGTGTGCGAGACTATTTTAGCTCTTAGTCGCCACCCTTAGCTTTACCAGGCAGTCCTAATGGAAGTGGCTTCCCCTTGCACTTACAGTTATCCCGTGTCAGGAAACGTAATTATAGTGAAGCTTGTATGGTAAAAATGAATCTAGAATGCAATGTCACTTAGACTGATCTATCACCCTTTCCTTTGTTTTTTTGTTTGCTGTTTAGCTGTTTGCGTTAATCGTTAATTGATGGCTTATTAGTTCAGTTAGTATCATTACCAGTCAAAGGTATTTGTTTGAGATGATTTTCTCTCTTTAAGTTCTACAAGCAACAAGCTTTCATTCAGACATGAAATAATCTTAACACGAAACACCTGAAATTAAGAAAACGTCTTATAAGTTACACGTTTTGGTAGAGGAGACAAAGTAGACGACCAAAAACCGCAGACGCATTATCCTAAAAAACGAGCCCCAATAACAATCGTAAAAATACACTACACGCTTAGCCATGAATATCTTTAAAAATTCTAACATGCGTAGCATTCTTAGTTGGTGTATGTTGATAGTATAATGCTATGAGCCCGCGAGTCGGTTGGAACCGTAAGGGCCTGGAAACTGTATATGTCATGTGTGTAGTTTGTGTGTAGGACCCCCCAAGTTTGTAGTTCTAATTCTGACTTTACATACTTGTGAGATCTAGCTGAGTTGTGTTTTACTGCCTGAAGCAGCACTTGTCAACATGGTGGCAGCGATTTTTCTTTTGTAAAGGAGTCAAACTCGTTCTGGAATACGAGTCAGAACAGGATAACAATATTTTACACATGCAGATGGCACAATTCCATTTACCGCCAAACCTGGATCTGACCGATGGTAATCTTGCTGATAGTTTTAGGAAATGGAAGCGTCAATTGGAAGTCTACATGGAAGCTAGTGGAGCTAATAACAAGCCGAAACAGCGACAAACAGCGATCATTTTACATTGTGCTGGCCCGCAAGTTCTCGAAGTCTATGATCATTTCCACTTCGAAGCCGACGATGACAAGACCGATCCAGCGAAGATCCTCGAAAAGCTTGAAGAGTACTGTAACCCGCCAGAAAACGTTAAGAATCTCATAGAAATTAATAAGGTGGTTACGTGACTCGTAGTTTTGTATTCCGTTATTTAATATTAAGTGCAAAACTATCTATTAAAGACGTAATCAGTAAAACCAGGGTAAGATTCTGTGTTAATCGCTAGAACACAATTATAATTAACGTCATTTCATACTGAAATGTACAAGTAAGTCTTAAATTACAATTGCTGATTGTATATAATCATGTGTCGTAAACAGAATTCTTACTTTGTACACTTGTAACCTCGGTATTTTGCAGATACGTTAAAGATCGCGCTGAGTGTTGAAAAAAAAAAAAGCTTGAAGAGTACTGTAACCCGCGAGAAAACGAAGTTCTCCAAAGTTTTCGGTTCTGGAACATACCATTCCACGAGACTTTTGATGTGTTCCTAACAGAGTTATATTCTCGTGCCGCCTCGTGTAATTTCAAGGAGAAAGAACGAATGATCAGAAACAAAATTGTCTTCAGTGTCTCCGGTAAGCTGCAAGAATTATTGCTTCGTGAGTCAAACCTAGGCTTGAAGAAAGCCAAAGAGATCTGCCGCGCCTTCGAAATTACTTCACGAGCTAAATGGGAAATGAGTCCACCAAGTGAAGGATACCTGATTGATAAAATAGAGGCACAACATTAGAAAAAGCAAAACAATGCTGTTAAACCTCAGCAGAAAGATGGTCCCTGTGTCCTCAACGAATGCCAATTTTGCGGCCAATCACATGAAGCAGCAAGGGCACAATGTCCTGCCTGGGGGAAAACCTGCAATTACTACAAGGGCAGAAACCATTTTGAAGTCAAATGTAAGAAGGTAAATTTACTTATATTAATGTAGGGAGAGACTCTGATGAATGTGATGAACAGTGGTTAGCTGTGGTAGGGGCTGATCATAAACTTGTAACTGCCTTGATGCAAGTTAATGGTTGTGGAGTCAGATTTTAGTTAGACTCTGGTCCTGATGTAAATACAATATACCAGAAATTTGTGAAGAAATCCCAAGTGAAATCCACCTCGCAGAAATTGATTATGTGAAACAAATCAAAGGTAACTCCCCTTGGACAAGTTACTTTGGAAATCTTGAATCCTAAGAATACACAAGTAAGTGAAGCCGATTTTATTGTTGTCCCAAATGATTTCAGTTGCCTCCTGGGCCTAAAAACTGTGCAAGAAATGGGACTCTTTACAACCAGTGATACAAGTCCGTTAGGAAATCTGGCCGAAAACTGTGAAACCTGCCAGCTACACAAACCCGGAATCAGAAAGAGACACTGAGACAACATGAAGAAGGGGAAACTCTGTGGAGCAAATTGGCGTCGATCTGTTTGAAATGAAGGGCAGAAACTATCTAGTCACTGTTGACTACTACTCAAATTTTTTAGAAGTTGATTACCTGTTCACCACAACGACTAAGCAAGTCATTACCAAACTCAAAGGACACTTTGCGAGATATGGGATACCCCTTCAGATGGTAACTGACTCTGGCCCACAGTTTCTCTCACGAGAGTTCAGGAATTTCACGACGGAGTGGGCAATACAACATGTAAAGTCATCACCCTAGCATCATCTGTCAAATGGAAAGGCGGAGGCCGCATTGAAGATTACCGAAACGATGATGTGTAAAGCACTGCGGGATGGCACTGATCAATATGCAGCCCTACTGGAATTGAGAAACACGCCTCGCTAGGATACAGGCATAAGCCCTGCCGAAATGATGTTTCGCAGAAATACTCGATCACTGCTACAATCTACAGGAACCAAGAGCATCCCAAGTAAGAAAAAAGTTATGATGAAAAGAGCCAAGCACAGCCTTGCCATTAAGAGTAACTACAAGAAAGAGACGGACCTGAAGCGACTCACCCCCTAGTCAACCAGTTTACTACCAATACAAGGAAGGAAGGAGACCTGAATGGAGAATAGGCACCGTGCGGACTGAGCAAAGCGAGCGATCCTACATAATAGACGGGAGAGATGGTGTATATAGGAGAAACAGAGTGCACCTACGCCTTACAACAACTGAGACGTCACCAGAGAAAACCTCCTCACCTGCTTCTGCGTTGAATACAAACTGCTAAAGCACATGGACACTGAGAAGTCACAGGATGCCAACAGACTGAACTAGTCTCAAGCAGACAGTCCGACTAGGCCACGGCGAATCAGGAAGGAACCTGACTGGCTCAAAGATTACGAGTTCAACTTTTAGTTTCTTGAACATTTGCGCATGTTGCAAAGAACTTATGCTTAACTATCAAAGAGACACTTAGAAAAAGAATTGAACTTGTTCGTGTCATTCGTTTTTGTTTCATTTTATTTTATTTTATTTCAGAAAGAAGGATGTTGATAGTATATTGCTATGAGCCCGCGAGTCGGTTGGAACCGTAAGGGCCTGGAAACTATATATGTCATGTGTGTAGGACCCGCCATGTTTTTAGTTCTAGTTCTGACTTTACGTACTTGTGAGACCCAGCTGAGTTGTATTTTACTGCCTGAAGCAGCACTTTTCAACAGTGTAACTATTACTTTTAGCATCACAGCTACTCTTCAAGTTGTTGAGGTATACCTTAGCACATGGTCTGAATGGAAGGATTGTTAACACTGATAGTCAGTTAAGAACTCAAACCGGTCTATTCCTACAAATTAACGATAGCTAACCCTAACAGAATTTCTCTTACTATTTCTTTTTCCTTGTAATACGTTTCTTGTTGGGGACAGATATTGTTCAAGCCTTTTTGAAAGAAATTCACTGGTAATATAAGTAAAATAAAAATAACGGTATATGATTGAGATTGCAAATAGTCTGTAGATGAGAAAAGAAGAGAATGTCCGCTATGCTATCGATGTCATGACAATAGACAAATAAATCAATAAGACAATCTAAAATAGCCTTTAACTCGTCCCTGTACGGCGTTTTCCCAGTCCCCCTCGGTCAATTCACCTCCGTTCGCCTGGACCGAATTAATGAAGCCTAGGGACTAATACTGGACTAGGCAAGGTCCTTGAGTACTGACACTGTGATACATGGTCAAAAAGCATGATGACGATTACGTGACTAATGGCGTGACAGATGTAAGGTGTGATGGATCACGTGGTTATTTTCATAACCAGTCAGTTGTTTAATGACGTGTTACTTACGTCATTGATGACGTTTTCATAATGTCATTACGAGTCCTAATTTTAATACATTGAGAGTTTATTTCAATTGAAGCCAAATGTTATTACATTTAGAAACCTATTATATTCTATTAAATTACATTAATTTTAAGACTTTCTTACATTTAGGGTGGAATCTCATTACATTTGGCATTAACTGTATTTAGGGGCGGTTATCAAATTGGCTCTATATGGCATCTACAGTTTCCTGAAGAAAAAATACCTTTAGATACTATTGTAATCCGGTTACGAGTGTTGTGTATGGTGAAGTTGAATAATGTATATAGGGACCTTTAAGTTAGTTTAAATTTCTGGTTTTTCTCCTCGATAATTTGTTTACATAAGTTGTTAGTTTATAAACGGAAGCTTTGCTTTTAGGCTTGCCTAAATCCATGCATAAGTTAAGTATCAGCATCAGTCAAAGGCATTCAACCGGCCTGAGCCACAGAGACATATATTTTGAAAATAACGAGTCCACACATTGGTCAAAATATACCCCAGCGTTACTTTCACACTGTAGCATATTATGGTCTGTTTTCATAAAATTTTCGTCCATCGAAGCCCATATGAAGAAAACGGATGCAGTGGCGAATAGTCGCCAGATCCAAAAGACCGATACATTTATAAAAATTATTTCACGCTCGCGAGCGCTCTCTTAGGAATGTGCTCGGGTCACATGCAAAGTATGATTCAACAAGTTTATATTGATCCGGGCCTCGCGCTGGGAACAAGTTAATTTCTTTGACTTGAATATGCGTCACTCAGGATTAAAATTAAAGGTATACCCCCGATGAGGCCTTGAAGCAAAAACGGATTTAAATTTTTTCCCTATCTTTGAGAGCCAAATGAAATACGCTTGGCCTACACACTAAATAATAAGCTCTTAAAATGCAAGTCTCACGTTACCTCGATGTAAGCCGCACGCTCGACACAAATCACAAGTCACAACTGCAGTGAATCACCTTGCCGTGCGCGGTACTTTCTTTTTATATTCTTTCTCTTTTTCAGTCAGTCCTGTTTCGGCTCTTAAGCTTTGAAATAATATACAGATCCAGCCAGGGCTAAAAGCAAAGCCTCTGTTTCTAAACTTAAGCAATCGAATTTAAACTAATAACATGAACTCTAAGCCAAGAAAAAAAAAAGAACAGGAAGAAAAGAAATAGGGAGCCTTCGGCATCAGTTCACCTTCAGAGGGTCAGATTTAGATACCATTGGCCGTAGCCCCTTTCCCCCCTTATGAAATTTACACAAGGTAGAACGGTTTTCTGCTTATATATCACACTTAGATGATATTTCAAGATGGTCATGACAGTGTAAGTCTCTTCAATTTAAGAAAAAAACAAATTGATATGAAGAGCAGTGGGATTCGAACGCACAACCCAGAACACCCAGTATACCAAACCAACCACTAGACCACGGAGGATTTCGTGGATGAAAGGGAAATAATTTAACTACATATATAGCATCAACCCTAACCCCAAAAAAACCTAACCAGTTTCGAAACAGTGCTTAACCCTAATCTGTTTTAGCAGGAGCCCATAACCCGGAGCGTTCAACTGCCATAAATTCGTGCAACGGCGTTTTTACAAGTGAGTTTATTTTTAGATAAGCTTTTCTCGCGAAAAATAACTGTTCCACGAGGTCAATTCCCGCATTTGATCGTCGTTTAGACTGTTAGTATCTCGCTTAGACCTTTTCACAGTCGGCTTTTTGGAAGATGATTTCCATTTAATTCCCTTTGCTTGAATTATGCGTTGTCGTCGATGAAGTAGACGTCCTGGCTAGGTTTTGCAAATCTTGCTCTGAACTGCTAGTTTCCGTGTAAATACTGAAATTGTCTTTTGAAGTAATGTCAGAAGACTCCTCTGAAGATTCCTCACGTGTGTCCGCTATGTTTTTTTCAATGTGAAGGAGTTGTCCTAGTTACGTATTAAAAGTTTATCATTGATGACGCAATTGCTAGTGATTGGCTTTTCGAAAGCAATTCGCGGGAAAAGCTTATCTAAAAATAAACCTACTTGTGAAAACGCCGTTGCATAGGCGCAGTATGGAAGTTAGACTCTCCGGGTTATGGGCTCCTGGTAAAAGGTAGTGCTTAACCCTAATTAGTTAAGGGGAAAACTACGTTGTGTCAGGAGCCATGAGGTGTTCGAAGGGGCTACACTATACGGTCGATGGGATCTAATGATAACCTTGACTGATGCTGATACTTAACTTACGCACGGATTTAGCCTATGTGGTTGACAATTTGACTTTTGTGGGGGAGGGAGGTATAGGTGTATTAGTTTGGGTAAGAATCTTTTTCCAAAACCTCTGGAGTTACTACACCCATCCATGCTACACCCAAATCGTAAAAATTTGACATCAATATCGTCTCTTTCCTTTTCCCTAAAAAACTTTGCGTTCGCGGCCTACTGCTCTTTTTAATGGCCATTAAAATCACGCCCGTGCGTAAATTCGAAGAAGATCGTCTTCAACTAGTGTTGTAGCCTG